TTTGTTACCGATCATTATCCGTCTGGAAAATTTTACACGAAAGAATGACTACCGTTGCGAAACGCTGTCGCCTATTCTCTTTTAGTTTGTTACCTAATCCCCTTCCGTGCGGGTACAATTAAATTCTAATTAACAAAGTGTTTCCATGTATTCAAAAATTCGACGGGATCTATCCGTTCGACGGAACGTCATTTATCTTTTATACATTTTCACTATTATTAATTATGCATATACATTATTTATTATTATACATTTTCTGGCTGTGAACTGAATTCTAATTAACCAAGTTTTGATTCATCTCATGATGTAAAAAAGATGCATCGTAAAGAAAGAAACTCGAGTCATTATTTTCCAATCGTACTACTAGTGGAAAGAATGCCTTGTGTTTTCACTGTCCGGTGAACCTGAAAGTTATGATAAGCCCTGAGGGTCATCGCTAGTGGTTAATCATTGTATTTTAAACGCGGAATGTTATTGAACCCTGGAGACAAAGAAATTGAATTTCCCGTGAAGTGAATTGCACTTGGAAAACATCGAAGAAATTGTCGGGCGTAAAGTCCAATCTCGTTCGTTGAACAGTTGGAAGATGTTTACTTTTATAGACAGAGTGGACGCTTGATGTACGTAAACGTGAATTTTTTCCCGAAGGAACTCCGCGCTACGATTCCGTCGATTCGTCGTCTGAACCCGACGGCACGTAACCTACTTAATTCCTCCTCGCTCTCTCCCAGAGTGACGTCACTTACTCGACGCCGTCCTTAGTAATTTTGTCGTTAAAAAATAATTTCGTTTCAAGTTTTCGCTCCACGTGTTTCAGTAACTAAAATTTCATCAATGAGAAACTTATGAATGATTCACATAAAATTCCTTCAAGTTGTCTGAGCACGAAAGTGACAATCGTTTATTCGAATTTCTATCAGTCAATTTATTCGAACGACAGCAAACGACACTTTGCAAAAGTGGTATTATCTAACAATTTAATATTCCTTAGTAGAAGAATATCAGAAATTAATACATTCACAGATAGAAAAAAAAAAGTATTTATTATTGATGAGATAGATCGTTTACGTTTACATAATGCTATATAGAAATTCCACTGACTGTGGACAGAAGAAATTCTATTAACCCGAAATATGAATTCGAAGGACGTCCACGAAACTTGCCCAACCGACAATTCTCAGTGTTGCAAGCGGGCAATTGATTTGCGAAAAAGAAGTTCTTATGAAATTTCCAAGCATGTAGTCTTCATCGCACGTACACCTGTCGAGACTGAGTCGAAAGAAAAGAAGCATATGCTTAATTCGAAACGTGCAGCTCGTATTTTAAGAGAGAAATTAAGTATCTATACCTCTCATGATGGCACATCGCCGCATTTTTCTTCTGGCTTTCAATTTCGTTCTCGTCACGCTTCATGTTTAATCTTCACTCGTTGATAATAATTAATCAACACGCGTTCGACTACATACCTTGTAAACTGCAGATTCTTTGAGGGAAATAAAATTCTTGCGATGTCCATTAAAGAAACGAAATCAGATTTCTTCTGTTATGCAAAACTATGAATGTAAATTACGCTTTTAGTATTGCGCATAATTTTGCATATTGTATTTTTTATTCGCTTGTTTCAATGATCCATAAAATCTGCAGTCGATTAAAAATTTTGTACAGCTTATTATCTTAATTAATTAACTATAATGTACAATATTTTTGTTTAACGTTAATTTAACGTTTGAAGAAATGTCTGTTTATTATTATGAGAAAAGTTACAACAATTTTTCCAGTGAAAATTTATACAATCAGATAATTCGCGACGAAGAAAATGCGGTAAGAATACTCACGAATTTCGTTGTCGATGGGATACCGCGTGGCTCATAAATTCCGAGTCAGCCAGTCCTCGAACAGGTTCACTTTTTTTTTCCGAGATCAAGTTGAATTTTGTATCGTCACCGCGGCACCCGGACGCGATTTCTAGATCATTCACATACACATGCGAGGTTTCACGGTCGCGCGACAAACACACACACAAACTTTCTTCTCTATCTTCTTTCGCTCTCGCCTGCTCGCGCGTGCCACTATTACCGTTTTCACGCGAGCAGGAACTTGAAATTTCGAAATCGAGAGGATAGAACTCCGTTCGAGGCGACGACTCGGCGGACACTGGCTGCTAACTGCTGAGCTGACCATCGTCAGATTAACTCGCTCTTCTTACTCCCACTACACGCTACATACCCACCTCTTCACAATTTATACAGACTGGTTCAAAAATACTGGCGAATTTTATTGCATACAAAATACTATTGTTAAAACCAATTTTTATACATTATATACATGGAATTTCTTATGAAGGAGATTTGGTAGTGGCGTTTCAAACCAGATTTCAATACACGTTTCATTTCAAAATATTTATCACAATTCGGAATCTTTCGAACTCTTCCAATCGAGGGAATTTGGATTAAAAGTGCGTCATAGTGACGACAGATAACTGTAGTAAACGTTATCAGAATTGTAGTACTTATCGCAATGGTGACTTTGTGACTTTATCAACAAAATGCTGTTGTCATTGCTGTTGTTTGGAAAATATTGTCCATGAGAACGATTGTCTCTAAGTGGCTATCGGAAACAATACCTTGTTGACTGATTTTATTTGATTGCAAATTTATTTTGTGAATTTATCAAAACGCGACAAAGAATTCTTACGAAGAAAGGTTTAAGGAAAGTTTCCAGGAATTCGGTCTTTACATATTCATCTTCCCATGAACTCTTATCAT